GGTAATTCACAGCTGCAAGGCCCTGTTGAGCTTGTGACAAATTTGTAATTAGAGTCGTGATTGGCATGCTGAAATTTGAGAATTCAAAGACATGCGTGATGTGTGAGTTGGCATTTTGCCACGTTCAGTTGACGTCTGAGAATTCAAAGAAATGCGTGATGCGTGAGTTGGTATTTTGCCACAACGAGAGTACAGATCCTTGACTTCACTCTATATCTGGAGTGCCTGTTGCTGAAGTGAATTTCGCTGTGACAGCGAATGATCGAGTCTATCTCTGAAATCATGAGATACTGAATTCACCGGAGTATACACCTATTACCCTGCTTCGTCGACTGAGCCATGCAGGAGGCAAAAAAACTACTACTACTACTACTACTACTACTACTAATACTACTACTACGACTACTACTACTACTACTACTACTACTACTACTACTACTACTACTACCACTACCGAGAAAAAGTGTTCTCATGTTTCTTAACAATAATATCAGTACCCTTGCTGCTGTTACTGCTACTACTTCTAATTCCAATACCGATACCAATACCAATACTAATCCGGATGAGATTACCAGTACGAATACCGATACCAATGCTAATACTAGCGCTATTCCTCCTAGTAGTCCAGCCTGCAGTTTCGTGCCCTTGCCTTGCGAGACTCTTGATGATGGCACGGCAGAGAGAGAGCGAAAGAATACTAATACTACCTACTACTAGTGCTCCTACCAGCACTAGCAAGAGAATGACTACTACTACAGAAGTCTTGCCGTAGCTCCTTCTGCTGCTACTGCAGTTGCAAGATAGCAATGCGTGTAGTTTGGTTTAGGCTGGTCCGGCTTTGCACAGTGCCTGCAATTCGAGCCAAGGTCGAATCATCTCAGTTTCCACGAGTACGGCCAGTATGGCAGGTACTCTGGCGACGAGGAGATGTCGTTTCAGTGTAAAGGGTTCGAGATCGATTCCACACATGCTCGTCAGCAGGCGTTGCCGTTTACATCAGTGTGAACCATGCGCCTTTTGGGCCAACTAAGCCGTAGAGTCTTCTCTTCTTTGTCGTTGGGTGTGGATTCCAAAGGCTTCATTGACCCGACTAAGCGCTTGTCAAGCTCAGCAGAGTTCCCGTCCGGAGGACCCCATGCTGGAACGATACCATGGTCGAATCGAACGAGGACAGCTCAGGCACTTCCTTAATGCCCTTATGCCTTACGGAGGCTCTAGACATTCGTTGCAGATCTTGAGCGGCTGCAAATGTTCGGAAGCCACTGCCGATTCCACGAAGTTGGGGGGCAAAAGAGTAGATGAGTAGACCCAAACCTTCGAGGGATTTGCATAGAATGGCTCTCGAAGAAGTCGCAGTCATTAGCATACATGATGAATGTATCACACAGGTAGGCTGTAGGCGACACCTCGATCACATACATCCGGGGGATAGACTGCAGCGTGCCTGTTTTTCGACATTCAGCATGTAACGCTTACTCAGTACATTCATTCATCCTCCCAGCAGGTCTTTGCCGGTTCTGCTCATTGTTGACAAAAGCACGGCGGATTGCAGTCTGGTTTCAGAGATATTTGCCATCAAAAGCAAAGACTTTTCTGATCCCTGACATTGGCGTTGAAACGCACCATGTCGTGATTTCAGGTTCTGGGGCCTCAAGCAAGCACGCCCTGAGCAGATTCAGCCGGTCGTGTCCTGAGAACTTTAAGGTTCCACTTGGCTGCGCGGTTGGCAGGCTCGCCAAAAGAAAGAGGATCACGAAAACAAGATGAACAAAGCTGGGCGGCGGCCTAAAGGCGTCAGGGCTGACTGCCTCCAACTAAATCCAATGAAAGAAGGAAAAAGGGTGGTCAGAGTCAGAGGCCGCCAGGGTCTTGCGCGAGACAAGTTTGTAAAGTAGCTTTGTGGGAACAATTTCGCTAAGCCCCCGGAAACAGAGCAGCTTATCACGTCGTTGCAGGGCGCCAGGGCGCCTGTGCTGTGCCTCTCCGACCTTCGAGAGTGTCTCAGAATGACAGATGTGGTGCAGGAGTTTCTTGCCGTGCGTTATCGGCACAAGCACAACTACGAAAGAATGAGGGAGAGAGGTCCGACTTTCCCTTTTATCGCACTGCTTCGCCGTTGCTCCACAACCACAAGCTGTCACATTGCAGATCGCCTTGTAGATCGACCAAACTTTACTCGTTGAATCTTGTTGACGCAGCTTGCGAACGCTGGAGCCCAAAGGGGCGTGCCCCTGCACAGAGCACGTGCCGCTTCGACTTGACCGAAGAAAGCCAGCACAACAAGCAGAGGCAATAGGCAGCTTTGCCGTTAGCAGGCACACGAGGACGAGGGTGTGACCGAAAGCAAGCAGTTTTGCAAAAACCGTTGCCCCGATCAGATGCGAAAGCCAAGGTGAGGCAATCGCTCGACAGATGGCAGGAGGCGAACTTCCTGCTGCTCAGCCTTCTACTCTTTTGTTGACGAAATGTGACTGCAGCCTGATGCCAGACTCACGGTGGCGAGACGCCCCCGTACATCCTGGCTTTTGCAGCCAGGCGGCATCAAGAGTCAGGCAGGCTGCTAGTTTCGTGCCTACCCTCAGTTGCAGTGCCTTTGTAGCGAGGCAGGTCTGGTGAGGTCCTCGTCAGGTCGAAGGTCGAAGGGTTGACTTCCCAGGTGAATTCCATGTCTGGCAACCAGCGAGTCTCTCAGGACATGGTGTCGGGAGTGGCTCCTTGTGCAAATTTCCACAGTTTCTGTTTGAATCGGAACCCTATAAAATTGCCGCATTACCTGTTTAGGCTACCGAAGTTTCCAAAGCCTGAAATCCTGAGACCCTTGCTTATACCCTTGACCTCTTAGTCCTCAATTGTCAAACTATCGGCTTAGCGAGCATGCTGCTATTCAGTCTTTTTTTGTTGCTTGAACCTCCCTGTTCTCAGAGTCTAGGGCTTCAGGTCTAGAATAGACCCCACATCGAGATAAGGCAGAAGCTGTAAGGATGCCTGCAGCCCTTGGCTGCTTGAATATTCATGAACAACCATCCCCTTGGCGACGGTGTTTATTCTTGGACGAAAAAACGAGGCCTTAAATGGCCTTGATCATTACCTATACTACAGTGGAAGTTCCTTATTGTGATTATCGTAGAATATACCCCCAAACCCTCTCCTAATTCTTATGGTCCTTATACTGTCGCCTGCACCACAGCTTGCGAGAGCTTCATGCCGCCAAGTTTCTTCCCCGTTCCATCTTTCACTTGCACAGTTGCTCGTCTTAGAGCCGCTTGGTCGTTTCCGCCGAGGGCACTGGGTGAATCTCTCTTTCTCTGTTCTGTATCGCTGAGCTTAGACATATGACTATGCTGGAGAACCATCGCGTGCCGATCGTAGTGGTTGCGACTTCTGAAACGTGTCATTATTCTGCGGTGCCCTTCTGCCGGCAGGCCATCAAGACTCAGCTGAACACTCTTTTGGGCCACCAGCTGGGGACTCGGCTGCGAGAGTTCGGGGTCTACAGCTGCTTCGATGTTTACGTCCTACCAAACTGACAGATGCATTCTAACATAGTTCTCCTAGTTTCTGCCGGAGTACATTCTGAAGGTCTCAGTTTGGAGACAGCCCGAAAGGATCAAAGCATGCAGTTGAAGTAGTCTGAGTTCTTCTAGTGACTGAGTAGCAGCTGTCAGTTGCCGTAGCGGTCAATAGTACTAAGTACAAAGCAGTGGTTTCAAGTTGTATCTGTAACTGTAATGGCTGTGCGGAAGACGGAAGGCTGGTGAGCATGACTTTCTGGACTGTGTACTATAAATACCTAAATCATTACCTATACAATTTTGGGGGTTCCTTGTCGTTATAGAAATCAGAAATGTGGGCCCATGAAATGGCTTACAGCCTGCTGCAGTGGATCCGGCAGCTACGACTTGGGTTTGCAGGTTTCACGTCACGGGCCGCGGCGAGGCCATCTGTCAATCCTGCATTGGGATTTCTGTGGCTGCGTAGCATCACGGAACCTTTTGCACGCAACCCGGGCATAATGAAGCTGCGAGTTTTGCGGGACAGGATCCCCTGGAACAAAGCCGTGTCATGAAGCTGTTGTTGCCACACGATGTGGTGTTTCGTTCAAGGCTGATTCTGGCGTGGCCTTTCGTCTTGGTGGCTTTACCACAGCAACATTACAATTATGTTTTCAAGCTCGACTTTCGGTTGCGAGGATGTCGAGCGGGTGCCGAGGCATCGTGTGTCCCCTCACTTCGACGCGACCCCTTTCAACGCAGGCATAAGTTCTAATGAAGCCTCCAAGCCCTCACACTCAAACTTGTGAAACCCACCAATCTCAATTTTGGGTCCGGTGCACATTATGTTCCAGATCGCCTCGCATGTGTGTTTGTTCTATCTTATGAAAGAAGATATTATTATTATTATTATTATTATTTCTATTATTACTATTCTTCTTCTTATTATTTCTGTTATTATTCATATTGTTATTATTATGATAGAACATGATTCAGGCCCGGCCTCTCATGGTCTTGACAGGTCTACTTGGCCGGCAGCGTTTGTGAACTGTCCGAGGTTCGGAACAACGAGAGGCCGGGCCTGACTCATTTACTATCATAAGAACAAGATAATAATATGAATAATCATAGAAATAATAATAAGAAGAAGAGTAATAGTAATAATAATGATAATATGTTCTATCATAAGAATATGCTGCGGTCTTTATCTGTGTGTGTCACGGGGGTGTCAGAAACCGGAAGGGTTGCCGTAAGAGGGAAGGCCAGCGTCATGTGTGCTTTCTTTGGGCTTGGTGGGTCGATTTAGCGGCATGTTCAGCATCTTCTCAATGCGCTGCATTCTCTTTGTCGGATACGAGTTAGTTTCGACCAATCTTAAGAAGTGTTGCTCGCTGACCTCCAGGGTCTCATCCGATTTTCGCTGTCTTGGGCCATCTTGGACCGCTGCCCGTGGCGGCTCTAGTATTTGCAAATTTGCAAAGTTGGACCCCGGCTCGTGGGTGTGCCGGGATGGAAAGCCCTACCTTGAGCAGGCGGCACAACAAACTGACCATAGATCCTGATCGGACTGAACGCCGCCAGAGTGCGCAGGGGCTCTTCAATGCTAAATCAAGAGCCAGCTTCACGCCGGAGCAAGTTGCTGAATGCAGAGAGCTCTTTCAGATTTTCGACAAGAATGGCGACGATAAGATCGACAAGTCGGAGTTTGTCCCGATGATGAAGGCTCTCGGATTGAACCTCAGCAGCCAGGAGCTGGACATGTTCTTCACTCGGATGGATTACAACGGGGACGGCAGCGTGCAGTTCCACGAGCTCGTGAGGTTCCTGGAGGGCATCTCCCAGCCGATCACGCTGGAGCAGGAGATCTGACTAATGCCAGCGTGAAATGTTGTCTGCCTCGGCTATATAGTCCACACCATGAAAATAATGCAATACACAATCACGCCACACCGCCACACATCTGTCCGGGTCGTCGCATCAGCTCTGCATCCCGTTCGGTTTTGGAGCCCCTCTGTAAAAACTGTGCCGCATGCCTTTCTCGATGTGGGTGGTTCTGACTTTCCTCAGTCTCTATTAGTGCATGTAGGCAGGCTTGTTCTTCGTTCCTATTGCCCCAGTCGTCATGTGCAACAGTCGCGAGAATCGAAACACTACATCCCGATGGCTATTGGCACAGTCGAGATATCACAGTCGCAAAAATATCAAGGTCCGGAAACAGCAACAGTTGTGAGCAGTTGAGCCCCCACCGACCCATTCCTGCGTCTGCGGCATTCTCTTCGAGATGTGAAGCTTCAAGCCCACAGCAGATTCAAAAAACACATGACACATCAAAGCAGCAAGCTCTAGAAGGAGTTTAAGCTGGAGCAGTCGACAAAGGTCTTCAGAAACAGACGTACTGCAAGAAGTTCTATCCTCCAAAACCTCGGGGCGAACCCCTAAACCGTGGTGTTCTGTGAGATCTGCTGAGCTGGCTTTCGGGCCTACTATGCGGGAAGCAAAATCCTTCGACCCCCCGACCTTAACATACCTGACTAGTGTAAGACTCGAAAAATCCTAAGCCCATATATCCCACTCTCAACTCATCAGCGTGTTCTGCAGACATTTCCCGGACATGTCCTAGTGTCAGCTTTAAGAGACTCAGCATTTAGACTCAGAATCTTCTTTAAAAGAGGAGCTTAAGGAGGCCTTCGCCTTCTTCAACCCTGACACACTGGAGATGGAGCCACACGAGACACTTGAGGTGACCTCGTCCAGAAGCGCTTCTGTGGACTTCTGTTGGGCTGTGGTGTGTACGGCTTTTGCGCTTAGGATTCAAGGTTTGGAGTTCATCAGGTCTGGTCTGATTCGTCTAAGGTGTCGCAGGTCTTGAGGTTATAAAGGGCCCACAGACGCAAGGGCTGAAGTCGCTGGGTTATTTGTTGCTCAACACGTCCAACAGATCTCTCCAGGTATTGAGAAGGGGAAGGTCACCGAACCCCGCCCTACCATCCTGATTGAGCCAGGTGATCAACCAGAAAGGGTTGGCACAGATCTTTGAGGAGATGGGTGAAGATATCAGCGAGCTCGAGCCAAGGCTGCTTAAAGTCTTGCAAGGACGATCAGGGATCTAGAGGTACAGGTTCCGGTCCTGCCGCGTCGATAGTCGCTTCCCTTTGCTAGTCGACCTGGGAAGTACTTGGTACATGTGGCTGGCAAGATCCTGCACACACACACACACAGTCGAGCGCAGCAAAGCAGCACGAGCGGAAAACTGCGTACCCAGTTCGTTGCTGCAGATGGAGGGACCGGCAGCACGGTGCAAAGATGTTACGGATGGTCGGTTAACTAAGTTAACTAAGCAATGCATCGTTGCAAGTCAGTACTTAGTTGCCCGGTTGGATATGGCTTCCGAAGGAGTCTTGCTCGAGTGTGGCACATCGTGACACATAGACGGGGTGATGGCATGGGCAATGTCGAAGCACTTGTGACGCGGAGATGATCTCCTCTGTCATGCTTACTTCAGGTATAGGACGGGTTCGCGATCCTTTCGCATTGAACAGGCTCCGATCGCAACAATGCCGGGTTTTCCCAAAGCCGTAGCTGCCCCGTCGCAAGCTAGCCGCTTCGTGCAGATCACTCTCCGTGATCGCCAAGTCACCAAGGAGTGCCGAGAGATGATCTTGGCAGCAACTGGAGGGAGGGAGGCCGCAAAACTTGAAGTGTGACAGTGCCAAAGCAAAGGGATTTTGCCCAGGGACGTGCATGGATTATTTGTATCGACATGCGTGTAAATGTTGCGTCCGCGGCAAATGTGTGTGCAGTTGTTTTCCTGCAGGAGGATGAGTTTGAATCCATGTCTCCATTCTCTTTCTATGCGCCCAAACACTTATTGCAATCCTGCATGGTCCTGTGTGCTTTTCTATGTGGGCATCTACCGCATCTAGGCATGACGTCAAAGTGTTTTGATTTGCTGTTTGTGCCCGCCCCTGTTTGTCTCTTACTGTGTCTCCTCGATCTGTCTTTGAACCACAATGTCAGCCTGTCTAAAAAGTAAACATCTTTCGTCGTTCTCCCTGTCTGTTTGGCCGCCTGTCATTTTTGCCCTGCTTGTCTGAAGGTCTGCAAAACTCAGAGAGACAGAGCCAGAGAGAGAGAGAGAGATGACTGTGTGCTGCAGCTTGCTGTCCTGACCGATGGTGTCGGGGGGTTGATGCTAAGGCTAAAGCCGTGCGTCCCTTCAACCAACAGCCTTCCCCAACGAGGGCGTGCCCTCAAGCCTCGTGAAAGAAAGAGAGAGAGAGAGAGAGAGAGGGTGGACTGCACCCGCCTCACACCCCAAGCAAAGCAAAGCAAAGAGAGAGAGAGAGAGAGAGAGCACGAGAGACACCCCGGGCAAAGCAAGCAAAGAGTGTAGGAACGCCGAAAGCCTATAGAGTCTTTCGCATGCTTGGGGCATACAGTTTTGCACCTTAGATGTATTGCGCCTACAGAGAGCACACTCTCAGACACACGCACACACACACACACCATCACACACCTACACCTTCCTGTGCCTCCTTCAGAGTTTTCTTTTGCTGTAGTGCTTTCTTGAAAGTCTGAGCCTGGGGGTTTGAATGCCTTGATTTTCACATTTTGGGTGAAGGTGCTACTAGCAAGGGGGACCTACAGCATAGGGAATCAGACTGAAGCCTCCAAGCAATTCCAAGTCGGACGTTCGCAGGTGATAGATTTCAAGACCTTCCAGAAGCTCTGCAAGCCCCGGAAATCGGGTGCGGCAGGTAGCGGACACTGATTGTCCGAATTCGCCGTCAATTAACCCATCTTACGGCTGCTTGGTCGGGGTGGGGCTAGGCCCATGTTCAGTTCTGACGGCAAGATGCTGGAAGAAACCCACAAATCCAGGGATTCAGTGCAAGAAATACCACGTCTCACCAGTTGCGAAGCAACACTTTAGCAGAGGATAACGTGTCCTCTGGAATTCCGTCCCCGCGACATCTCAAAGTTAGCTTTGCAGATGTTGAGTTGACCAAAACGTCTAGTCAAATCCCTCGCTGCAGGGGTAGCTTGGGGGTTTGAGGGCTTGAGCTTTAGAAAAAAGGGGTCTTTTAGTATAATGGTAGCGTATTATTGTAATGTTGTTCTAGTATTATTGTCGTATCATCATAGTATTTTTAGGGTTCAACCACCATGCAGAATCGTTTCCTTTCTTGGCACCGGAGCTTTGCAAGTACTTGGAATACCAACTTCCCGTTAACTGGCATTAGTGGCACAGTAACCAGTACAACCTAAAGTCTGCAGATAACAAGACTCCAGCTCCGGGGGGGTTGCACCCGTCTTCGACCCGCCTCGTCTTAAAACCCCCTATCGACTCCTAGGAAGACCAAGCTTAGGTGTTTTTTTTTGAGGCGGCTGAAGAAACGGCCTGCATCCCTCACGTCAGTGTTGTGCTTCGAAGGCGGTGAGAGCGTGTACGGACTTCCGACATGACTTTAGAGCCATCTCGAGGCAATCGGGCCTTCCAGAGTGTAGACTGGGTGTAGAGTTGCGTCATCTGGTGCCGTGTTGATGCAGGGGAGATGTCTTAACTACCTTCTGGATTGCCCGTACCCTTGCATCTAGATGTTCTTTGGACTGCAGGCATGTTCGAGAAGCCATCCGCGACACGAAGAAGCAGATGCTGGAGCCTCCTGGCAGCAACTGCGACATAGTTCCTGAAAGCTGCCGGGATAGTGTTGAGCAGCTCAGCCTTTGCAGGGTAGTTGTCTGCACTAAGGCGAAAGATCTCGCACCTGTCCGAAGCCCAGCAGGCACAAGATGATCGCGCAGGTCATGTAGGGGTACGGTGTTAGCCAGAGCTTGACTTGATATCGCGACGTCGTGATTCCCACGCCAGTGCGATAGAGCAGTGCTTCCCTGGACGAAAACCATCCGAATAAAGACGAGGAGGGCTGAATTCTGAGGCTGAGAGTGGTGGCAAACCATCAATATGGAGAAGCCTACCGGCCTTGCCTTGACCCACATCTTGGCAATGGTCCACAATACCTTGTCCCGCTAATGGGAGATGGCCTCTGTTTGTTTGCTACGATGTTCGGGTCCGCGGTCCACAGGACATAACACGATTAGGGATTAGTGCATGGAGTTTAGGGCTTAGGGCATGCACTCACATCATCCCTTCTTTGTTCTCCAGTTTACGATACCGCGCTTGTCTGCAGCTGAGGCGCTTTCTTGTCTGCGGTGGCGACGGCACTGTCACATGGGTCCTCCATGAATTGGAGGCAAGTCTCCATGGTGACCTGGAAGATTGTCTAGAGTCTAGGGAACAGTGACATTGACATCATTGCAGTACTGGACTGGCCATCCTGGCGGCAACCAACCTCGATTGCAGATTTACAAATGTAGCCTGCCGCACGCTGTCCGAGCCGCCCTGGTGTCTGGAGCTGTGATGGCCAGGCTTGCAAAGAAGAAAACCGGCATCTCTTCACGACACAGAACCAGGCATGTTCTCTCCAGATCTGCATGTTTATCTGCATGTTTGGAGCCTGAAGTAACAACTGACCTTGATGCCTTGCGCCGTTGACCCATGTGCGAGGTTGCTGCCTTTCGCAAGATTCCCGTTCATCTTTTTTCGTGACTATTGCCAGGAGCCAGCCGTCGGTGTCGTGCCAGCTGGCACCGGAAACGACCTGGCCCGTTCGTTAGGCTATCCGCGGCTCTCTGCATCTTCCTTTCTTTCCTTGTTCGTTCCTTGCCCGAACATTCACCTTGATTGGCCGCGGATCGTAGGATCCCTTGTCAGCTGATGAGAGAATGGCTTCCTTAGTTTCCTGAAATGTCCGAACCCGTCGCAAATTCACAGGCTGGGGGCCGAAGCTGAAATCAGTGGCGGCTCTCGTCGGTTACGTACAGCAAGGAGCTGAGCGCGGGACATGTTGCAAGCAGCTCCTCATTCTGGCTCTTTGTGTGCTTGTGTGCATGCTGGCGACTCTGTGACTGTTCTCCGAAAAGGGCTCATCTCCAAACCCGTTCCACTGCACCAAGTGAGGGTTCAGCTCCTGCCAGATAGTGGCTTCCGTCAGGTGGGCCCTGGCTGCTGACATTGTGCCACTGGACCAGTGGCAGGCAAGGCATGGATGCAGTGTTCAGCTGTCGTTTTGCGGACTTGATTGATTGACGCTCATAGAAACATTGTTTGAGAGCCCTGGGTTCAAGTTGAAGCACCCACTTGCAGTTAGCACACCCGACCGACTCGCAGGTGACGCTAAGCTTCAGTCAGGGGGACCTCGTCGCGAATCACGTGACCGACCTGCGCGTGCACGGGTCTCATCAGCTTGGTGTGGGGTTAAGCAGAATTTAAGGTTCGAAGGTTTTTGGTCGAGGGCCGTTAGGGGTAACCAAGGACTACATGGACAAGATCCCTTAGCCTCCCATGTTTTTCCATGAGTAAGCATGGCAGGCCAGCCTAAGGAAAGGATGGCAGGGAGCCTTTCGGCTAGATCAGGAAAGATTTGAGATCTAAAGGTTTTGACAATTCTTGGCTGGATTTAAAGTGCTCGGGTCAAGGCACGCTTCCGGCCTAAAAGACCTACTGTAGGGGCCTTAAGCCTAAATAATTACAAATTCTATTTTGAAGGGCCCCAAGTGCTGGCAGCAGGAGCCAGAACATCGTAGTGCCCCAGGAAGGTCTCTTTTCGCTGCTCAGCCATCGGGTTGCATATAGATCGTCGTGGCATCGCCATCGCCGACAGCGACGATTTGTGGCACTCGCGCGGCTCAAAGAAGGACCACGTCCCACTGCTTTTCAGTGGGCCCTGCCCGCCAACCACCATGCAACATCACATGGGAATCCAGGATGGCGTGGAAATCACCCAGAACGGGAGCAGCCATCGTTTCAGCTTTGGCGTGGAGCCTACTCGCCCAAGATGAACCCCCTTGGAAGAAACAACAGAGCAAGAGCCAAGGGAAAGGTGTTGCAATTCCAAGTTACACACGAGGACACGGCGCTAGGGATAGGCTTCAGATCCGGCCAATTCAGCATGCGTTGAACTCGGCTTTCCCCGAGCTGCGACTACAGCGACTTACCAAGGATCGGGCTGCCAACATCAAACAGTGGGAGCTATGGAAGGAGGATATGAAGAAAGCTTGGATACGGGAAGGTGCCAAGCATGCGAAGGACTTGGAGATCTTCGACCACGAGATCGCGGAAGCCATAGCCGCACAAGATTCTGACCGGGACAAGTTCTGCACGGTTGTTGCAGCCAATGGCAGAGTTTCGGAGCCCGAAGCAGAGGATGGCGAGGAGTGGGACAATATCAAAGCTGGCTGGGACAAGGAAGCAGGTCCTGACTGGGATGGTGTGATGCAAAGGGCCTGGGAACATCACCATGCCTCGAAGACCAGAGCAACACTCCGCAGCGGCGCACGGCCGCGCCCATGTCGCCTCCTCATCACGCGGGCTCACCGGAGAAGAAGCCGGAAGGTCCAGTGCTTACGGGGACGAGTGGACCCCCCCCAGGCTTCACTGCCATGCCGAAGGCCAGGAACTTATCCCATGTCGGCTTACCCGGTGGAAGGCTTTGCTGCGATGAGTCCCGTTCAGCTCCTCCTATACAGGGGTGACGGCTGCGGCTTCAACGCCGCCCTCAGCAACCAGAGATCACCTTGTCGCAAAGCCAAGGGAACGTCAAGTTGGGGCATTCAGCATGTTTGGCAGGGATTGTTTTCATGTTGCATTCTTTGGACACAGCCGGTTTGTGTCTGGGCTGCACCCCCTGATCTGGGGACAACACTCCGTGGCATTGATGCTTATCTTCAGGCCGGCCCGCATCCTCTTGATGCCGACAATCGGGATGCTTCCGTTGCCTCTTAGGACGGTCTTGTCTTCGGATGCGCAGCGGGATTGGATTGGGGTCACCGCTTTTGCTCCGGGTTTTCAGCCGAGATGCTATGCCCTTCCATGCACCCAAGGACCGACGATCTTGCAGCGCAGGTCTTGCAGGTTGAGATGTCCATTCGCCCAGGCTTCCATCAGGCCACCCCGGCAGCCATTCAACGGCACACTGGATATGCTGCTTTCGTACTTCATGCATCTTCATGCCCCCGAGGATGACAGAATGGGTCAAGTTTCAGTGATTCTGGACCCTTCCCGCGTCGGCGGGCATTACCACGCCCGGGCGTTGGAGATCTCTTGGCCCACATCCTGTGCCAGACTTGGGTTGATGACCGGGACATCTGTCTATGGCTGCCAATTCTCAGCAGCCTGCTTCTGTCGAGCAAAGCGTTCGTCTACAACACGGGGACGTTCTAACTGTCCTTTGGGCAGGTGTGTTCCCTGTTGGTTGCACAAGCCTTTCCGATCTGTTTCAGGCCGGTAGTGAGCGGGTAGCCCGGCTCCCTGATCATTCAAGGCACTGAGACCTTTGTGCACCACCAGCATTTCTTCCCAGGACAGGATCTGCTGGCGACACAGCACTGCGGCGACCAGCTTGGTCCATGCAGTTTTTGCACACAGACTCAGACCAGCCGCCATCCATAGACTTGTACGGGGATTCCTGTTACCAGATCATTTTGTCAAGGAGCCTGGATCGCCAACAGGATGCTGAAATCTCAGCCGAGGGAGAGGAGGCCCCGTCTCGTCTCGACAACCCGATTGAGGTTCAGATTCCTGTCCAGATACCGGCAACCGTCCCGGAGACGCTTAACGCCGCTTGCAGCGCTTGTTGAGGCACGGCCCCGAGGCTGTGCTCCACTTGCTATATGTACATTGGCGTTTGACGCCAGTTCACGCCTGGTTGC